TGTTTCCTTATACGTTGCACGAACCCCTCAGAAATATTCAGTCCATCTCGGTGCTGATAAAACATTCCAACACACGTAAAAGACCTGGGCATTTAATACACAAAATTATCAACAGCGGAACACCACCCTTACATATTATGCCTCTAACTCCAATCCTTTAGTGTTTATTTACAGATAAGTCAATTTCCGGGGAACGAAAAGTACTTAAATTATTCAGGTTAATGTACAGGTTAGTTTTGTTTACCCAGAAGCCACAGCACCTATGATGAGAAGCAGAACATTATATGCCCATTAGCGAAAGATTCCTTGCCGCCAGTCGGGGGCAGGAGAGCAACATTACCTTTAGCGTGGAACACCAATTCCCAAAAACTTAACAAATCAATCTTTGGTGATGATACAATGACATAAACGTGATATGGCTGAAGGTTACGATGATTATGTGAGATGGAGATTAGCTGGATCTTCAAGTCTTTGTGTGCATGGATTAATCTTCTAATTAAAGATTGCATAGGATGACGACCAGAATTCACAACTCGCTAAAAAGGTGGTGAATGTTTAGTCTGGTCGACCGCACGGAGTCGACCTTGAAAACTATGCAAGGCGAGATACAAAGAAACTGGTTATGATTCTTCATACCAACATCTCCAGCGTCTTATTTCTTAACTCGATCGGTTCAGAAATATTGGAAAGACGTTCGGGTAAGTTCTTTTAAAACACAGAAAGATAACACACTGGATACGAACATTAATAGAATACAATCGTTTATAGGATACGAACATATATATATATATATATATATATATATATATATATATATATATATATATATATATATATATATATATATATATATATATATATATTTGTTTCACTGAGTCTCCGTGATGGTGAGAGGACGTGGGTCATGACTGCTGAGGGCTGAATGATGCAAGACGTAACCGGAGCAGCGTCACACACCACCAGCAACAGTTGAGGGTCATCACTACCTAATACCAACTCGGGGTGAATTCTTGTATGCGAATCCACTGCTTTGTGTGATCTACGTCCGACCCTTCTCATACATTTATCAATTTATTAAAGATCCAATTGTTTTTTTTTTTTTTCCGTTGTTTGTTTTTATTATTATTATTTGCCAACATAGAGAGTTTAGACTTTTGGTAAACAGTGTGGAAATGGTTTGGTTAGGGTTAAAGTGAAAATATATGGAAATGGTCCTTAGAGTGTATGGGATATGGGTGGGTAGGGGTAGGCAAGTGTTGAATGCGTTATGCAGGGACAGTACTGGACCTTGCAGTGTTCACCCTTCACGTGACATACTGAATAACATTGTATTATCTATGTATATTGTTTGTATACCCACACTGTCTAGGTGCACTATCCTGTATACCCGCATGGTCTGTCTATATATGTTGAATTAATGTAAATTTGTATGACGATTTTACTGAATGGTTATCTATCTATGAAAAGTAAAGCTAAACAATTTAAACCAAAAGACTGGAAACTTTGCTGGGAAACAATAATATAAATGAACCTCTTGTATGCAGTTTTGTAATATACGTAGTACAGTATACAGTCCAGTATATATACAGTATTTTATGAAAGTCAGGTCAAAGCTCACAAATTTTAATGTCAAAAGATATGGCATATGGCATAGAAGCAGACTAGTTAAGCCGTCGCTGTAAAAAAAAATCATTTAACACGTAGGCAGAGAATGAGTTCGTTATACCGACACCAGGGGGCTCCTTCACCCTTGTAAGTTGTAACCCTGACACTGTGCGGATTTGTCTAGTCTTTGCAGGACCTGAAGTGAATATGAGTGGTGAGGAAACAAAAATAATGAGGATTAAAAAGAAAAACTAAAGAGCGCAACATCACATACAAGTGACCTATTGTATTAGTAAATATAAAATTGTTGATAACCTGAAAATTAGCCCCAGTTTATTTCTCCTCAAGATTAACCACCCTAACCTAGCCTTACTTAACCTATCACTAACTAAATCCACAGGTAGCGTTCGGGTGTTTAATTATCACATTAAATAAGCTGGGTGCTAATCTTCAAGTGATGCGAATTCTTCAATACCCGATATCAATATTACCAATACGAAATGAAGTGGACAGACTGACAGTGGCAGCATTAACAGGTGGGTGTAATACCATATTGGCAACAGTTAAAAGAAAACGATCATTAGGGAGTACAACAATAACATCGTCTTCGTTCCAGTGTCACTTAACTGTTGATTGACTACGCTGGTAACTACGTCATGAATCATGCTCAGTCGTCACCAACCTGCATTTATGGCAACCCGTCCCACCATAAGATATACACAGGTCACGGTACATATTAATCAAGTGAAATTAAGATCGTTCCCTGACTGAGGAATGTGAAAAGCAGATCATATGTTGCAGTAGTGACACGTGGGAAGACCAGGAGGGAGAGGGTAGTAGGCCTACGCGTTACATACAGTAAGGTTTCCTAAGAACCTTAAATACGTACACATTTTTACCGGAACTGATCGTCTGCTGACATACAATACTGCTGCTAGTGTAAGGTGTCGGGTTCAGCAAGTGTGTGTGTGTGTAGAGGGGGGGGGTTACACACACACACACACACACACACACACACACACACACACACACACACACACACACACACACACACACACACACACACACACACACACACACACACAAACACACACATACACACACACACACATTCTCTCCAAACTAACATATGCGTCACCAGCCTGGTCGTCTTCTCCCAACTCCACCCAACAACGTCAGCTAGAGAAGGGTCTAGGACAACTGGCCGCCGCCATCTGGCCGCAGCCCAACTGGCCGCGGGAAACTCGCCGCGGCCGACTGGCCGCCATATGGAACCAAACCTAACCTAACCTAACCTAAATTAGGCGTTTGCAGTTTACCCCCAGTCCGCGGCGGCCAGTCGGCCGCGGCGAGTTTCCCGCGGCCAGTTAGGCTGCGGCCAGATGGCGGCGGCCAGTTGTCCCATTCCCGCTAGAGAAGGTACAGAAAAGGGCCTGCAGAATCATGCTCGGCGCAGAACACTCCGGCTACACCAACGCTCTCTCCACCCTGGAAATGCCATCCCTCAGTGACCTCCACCACCAAGCACTGGAAAGGTTTGGCAGTGGACTACTGCACCACCCTCGTCATCGCCACCTCCTGCCACCTGCAGCCCCCCCACCCAACTCGCGCAGTCCGCCACTACAACAAAATTCAGCCCATAAGACCCCGCACCGATAGATATAAGAACAGCACCATCCCATCTATTGTTAAAATAATAAACAACTCCTGATTTATGTACTGTACAGCCCTGTAAATGTATTCATTGCATATTGTATCATTATGTCTAAATCAAATATAAGTCTATATATTTTCAGCCACCAGCTGCAACTCTATTAATAAACCGTTTATTATTATTATTATTACACACACACACACACACACACACAACCACACACACACACACACATTTTCAGCCTTCTGGCTGCAATGCTCTTTTAATAAACCGTGAATTATTATACACACACTTCAGGAGCATCGTAAGCCCTGTATCTCTCGTCACCCTCAGCTATCACCACCCCGCTGTCTAATGTTGATCTGTAAGCCGTGTTCGACGGTCAATCAACATCCTCAACAACTTGCATTACGTATATACAGGGTGTCTCAGAAAAATATTTACACAACTGGTTTACACGTTTTCGTGGATATGGCGGAATACTTTTATTACAACAGCAAAAGTGTGAGGTCTTCCACAGGAGAGGACAATGTTGCTTTTGTTATACCAGCATTCACGTCACCTCTATGGAAATCTGCAAGGCAGTGTGTACTGTATACATTTTTCTAAGACATCCAAAATATTTTACAACAAATATATATATATATATATATATATATATATATATATATATATATATATATATATATATATATATATATATATATATATATATATATAATATATGCCGATAACCACAAGGAAAGAAGAAAACACGAAGCTCCCAAGCGCTTTCGTGTAATTCAACTTCAGGGGTGAGTACTGTACACACTGTACTCATGCTCTGAAGATGTGAATTACACAAAAGCGCTTGGGAGCTTCGTGTTTTCTTCTTTCCTTGTGGTTATCGGCACATATATATATATATATATATATATATATATATATATATATATATATATATATATATATATATATATTCTTTTTTTTCCCATCTGATAATTAGCTCCCATCATATTTCACTTGATTAAACACCCTGACTCTAACCTAACCTAATGCTAACCTAGTTAGCTAACCTAGGTTAGGTCCTAACCTAATCTAAACCTTAACTAACCTAACCTAATGCTAACCTAACTTGACCTAAACGAAACCGCAGTGTAAGCTTCCAGTTCCCTCAGTCAAGTCACTAACTTCATCTTACTTCCCAAAGACTTACATCACGATATATTGAGCCTGGTAACTGAGGTTGATGGAGTGCATTAGAGCTAAGTTGAGCCGAAGTTATTCCCTTCACCCACCCTCACCCTTCATACACACACACCTCTGCCCACCACACCCAATTAGTGACGGAAGATAATGTAAAAATAAATAAATAAATAAATGAATAAATACAAAATATATATATATAAATAAATAAAACGACAGAAGGTAACGAAGCGGTAATTAGATGATAACTGACCAACTAACTCGTATGATTTAAGTTTTTTGAAGCCTATTGACAAGTTTCTAGGCAAAACTGCATGAACTGGGACAAGGTCGGGCCACGGGTAACCATGAGAAGTGTCAGCCTCATTAATGCACACCTGTGAGTGGCCACGTACGAAAAAGCCAAGACTGGTCAGTGGAAGGTTTGTTAATACGTGTGTACAGATGTTTGTGCATGCGTGTGTGGGGGGGGGTGACTGAGTGGGTGGGAAGGATGGAGGGGGCGCAGGGAGATTGTAAAGCCGTACAGTTGCCGGGAAGAGTCTACCCCAGGGGAGGTGGGTAGCGGCGTGTCACTCTGGCTCCATCACCCGCATCACTGGGTCACAGGCCTCTCCTGGCTCCTCTCCACTCACCTCGCCCGCCGTCACTACCACCACTCGCGCGCCACAATCCTCCTTTCATTCTCGTTCTCCAGCACCTTTATGATTTACATACATTAATCGATTACATTTCATAAGAGAGGAACATGTTGGTCCGTGTTATGTGTAATGTTGTGGTGCCGGCAGTGTTGGTGGTGCTCACGTTGCTGACCCCGCCAGCCCGGGCTATGTTCGGCATCCCAGATTTTCTTGAATTTGGAGGCTGTGTTAATGCCACTCTCAAGCCTAACTTCGACCCCGTTAAGGTAATGTTTACTGTGAATATATTATTTATTTATTTATTTAATTATTTATTAATTTATTTATTTATGTATCTATTTATTTATTTATATCCGTTTAAATGCCATAAACAGTTAGATGAATTTATTGAAACTTTAAATCTTCACACTATATCTTATGCTAACAATCAGCAAAGACATCACTTCCTTACATTTGGTTTTGTAAACTCTATAGTTCTTCACAATTAGGGGTCACGCTTACTACCCCACGTTGTGTTATGAACTAAATACTCTTCTTCATCTATACGATATCTGTATGTGTGTTTGTGTATCAAATATAATTCTGGAAAGGGTTTGTTAAGTCTCTGATGCCACCAAAACATTGTTACCATATTCTTAGGTTGAGAGAGTGTTCCTAAGTTGCTGTCGCCTGAAAAATAAACGTTTTTTACGATCCTGTCCGTTGGTGTCAACAAAGGGGAATATGACAATTAAAGCCTAATATGGAGGGTTCGTTTTCTTTATGAAGGGGAAAGTTAAGCTATTGTTTAATAAAGTATTATTAGAGTCCAGCCAACGAAATTATTAACGAAAGTCATTAAATAAATATGTGGTGGCTAATGGTAGACCCTGCTACCATATGGCATCACAAAAATTGTGACCAAGTCCCAGGTTGCTGATCTGACGTTTAGCCTCATTTACACACAATTGCTGGCCTCAGTTGTATCTCCTTTGACAGCACAACATATATATTGTTTCTCACTCTTGATTTCCATCTTTTTTTTCCATTTCTGTATTTATTTTTCATTCCATTTTTTTCGCTCCCCAGGCTCCGATGTGGGTCGGTGACCTGTGCCTGGGTGGGCTAATCCCCGGAAAAAAGTGAAATGTTGTGGAATGCACACTTAAAATAATACAAAAAAAACACTACCTATTTTTGCATCATAAAGATATAATAATCTTCCCAGATTGTCATACACCTCACAAGGCCTACATCAGTGAGATCAGTTGTTAACGTAACACGCTCTGACATATTAAGTGATTATATCAAGTGCTGTAAATTAATATGATGCCGTATTTGAAGCCTGTGTGTGTGTGTGTGTGTGTGTGTGTGTGTGTGTGTGTGTGTGTGTGTGTGTGTGTGTGTGTGTGTGTGTGTGTGTGTGTGTGTGTGTGTGTGTGTGTGTGTGTGTGTGTGTGTGTGCGCGCCCTTGCAGCAGCTCCTGTGTAGGAGCCTCCCATTATTCTTGATTCCTCAGTTTTGGCTGGTACACCGTTCCATAGGTCTATTCACTCCCTGTGTGACGAAGTTATTCCTTATCTTCGTTCTACATAACTTGGCGAGCTTTTAGTTAAGCCCCCTCGTGTTAATGGTGCGTGACATCTCAAAGAAATGGCTCTGGTTCACATTTTCCACACCCTTTCAGAATTTTGAAAGTTTTAGTGAGATCCGCCCTATTGTGTCTTGCCTGAAGGGTTGTTAGTCTTAAGACCCTCAGCCTACTTGTAAATTCGAGATGGCATAGTTCCGGAATTATTTCCGTCGCTCTGTGTTAAACCTTCTCTTGGGATGTTCAGTCTTTTTGAAAGTAGGGTTTCCATGCCTGTATACAGTAATTCAGACTGGACATGCTCGTATGTACGTGAGATTGTGAAGTTGAAGAAACATTTTCTTAGTTCTCGACGGTAGATTTTATAATTCCAAATCTCGGTTTACTTTCCTCACTGCTGCCCCCACTTATTGCACCGCCTTCAGTGAATGATCTAGCACAACGGTTTTAGATCTTTCCCCTTTTCGACAGTATCCGGGAAAGTGTTATTAACAGAATAGTTGTGATTAGGGTTGTTGTATCCTATGTGTGAGGTCTTGCGTTTCGTAATGTTAAAGAGTATTTGACAGTCTCGAAAACATTTGAACAACTCGTGCAGGTCTCCCTGCATTGTTGCGACATCATCTGACTTGCTACCTTCCCAAATATGTTCGTGTCGTCCACAGACTTGGCAGTGTTTTTATCTATGTCGTTTATGTAGATCACAAGCAGGATGGGTCCAAGGATAGAGCCTTGTGGTACTCCACTAAGAACCTTTTTTTTTTCCATTCAGAGTGTTCTACATTTATTACCATTCTTCGTTGCCTGTCTTCGAGTCAGTTCAAAATCTTGCCTGAGATGTCTTGTACCTGGATCTTAGAGACTTGTAATGCATGTGGGACTTTGTCAAACGTCTTGGAGTAATCCATGTACAACACATCCACTGGGAAGCCTTTGTCTACGTAGTCTGTTACCATTTCAAGGAACGAGAAAGATTTTCAGGTAGGGTTTTCTTTCCTTGAAACCGTGTTGTGATGCGTCCAAGACACTGTTCTTGGTCAGGTGTTGGATGATGGCGTCCCTCAGAATTTTCTGAAAGAGTTCGCACATATGGGATGCTAAGCTGATCGGCCTTTAGTTTTCTGTTGCACTTTTCTTCTCCTCTTGCATACTGGAGTGACGTTAGCTGATTCCAGTCCCTAGGCGCTTTACCTTGATCCAAGGATTATTGAATAAGAGTCTTAGTGAAGTGCAGATCTTGTTTGTCACCGCCTGTACGACAGGCATCACCCAAAGCCGACCCATATTATCGTATCTAGCACGAGCCCAGAAAGTGACAAGGCGATCATCTAGAATCAGTTTTCCAAGTCCCAGCATGCTGAATGTTTGCCAGTGTCAACAACACCTGGCTACAACCCACCGTGTCCTTCATCTTTGTGTTCTGAGTTCTGACCTTTCAAGCAAAGGCATCACACGCAGCTAATTGACCCAATACTGTTTTACAGAGCTGCTTAATAATAATAATAATAATAATTAATAATAATAAATACGAGTAGACAATATATATCGAATAAATACACAAATATGTACTGTACAGTCAGGGTCAAAAGTTTGCTCCCGCCCAAAATGAAGCTGCATCGACCCCAAATGAGATGAAACAATCAGACTCATTCCCGTGACTCAATATCGCCACGGGGAGCAAACCTTTGTCACCCGACTGCGACTGTACATACATGTCCCTAGTTGGTAGTTGCCCATCAAGCCGGAAGCCGCTAATTGAATCCCACGAGCCCTGGATAAGTGGCCTTTACACCACAGTTATTTAATGTTAGTGCTGTATCTTGTGACCGCTTGTGAACCTTCTACTTGTATAATACCAGTTTCAAACACCAACAATTCATGGCGGTGAGAAAAATCATCGTGTTGATGTGATATACGTGGAAAAGATGGAATGAAAAAAATGGTCATAAAATTTCTTAAACACAAAAATTCTTAAATACCTGGACAAATATCCCAATGTTAAGGTTAGCCAATATCATGAATAAAAATGGTAAGGATTGTGTAAGATCTTTGTATTGTGGCGGTGGAGTGGTTATCGTACTGAGATGAGAGTCAATTGGTCCTGCGTTTGAAACCCTTGAGACGTAACGTGTGACAGGTACATGCCAGGAGCCATCAATCATGGGCACTTTACAGTATCTATCAACGCTCATGACACTATAACAGTCAATCAATGTATCGATTAACGCCCATCAGTGCTGACAAGTGACCCGAGTTCGATTCTCACTTGGATCGGATGTGAGAAAGGTGTTGGAGGAATGTACATGAAGAGAACTTGTTTATCGGTACCCCTTTGTTCTTCGGACTGGGCAGGAATCGGTTCCAGAACCGACGAGCTATTTCGGAACCGGTTCCTCTGGAGCGGTTCCACGAACAAGTAGATTCACCACAACGAGCGTTAGGTGTTGGTGCCGTGTTAGAGACGGTCCGACTCCTTTGTGTGTGTATGTATCTCCTGAAGCCATCACGTTGGTGCCTGGCTGGCTGGTGGGGTCAGCGTGTGGCGAGTGCAATTTGCCCCGAATCCCACATACCCACACTGACAGTCAGAGACTTGTGCTTGTGGCAACTTGTGGGTAGTGGTACTGGCACACTAGGTAGGCTTATGCTCTCGCTATAGATGTGGTCAATGTTCTACTGCTCAATGTCATTATTTATTATGGAAGTAACTTTCTTGTTTGTAGCTATAGACGAGAGTATTGCTGGAGGTTTTCTTAGTGATTCTTCTGATATTCTAATCTAAGAATCTCAGTTTACGAGTGGGCCTCATGTCCCCAATACTGTAACTGATAAGAATGAAACTATTAGTAGGTGTCTGGGTGAATTGAGTTGTTCCCTGTTTGTTTACTCTGAGGAGTGAGGAATCGGTTCCAGCGGTTCTGCCAGCACTGAGACTCGGAACCGCAAGTACCTCAAACAGTTCTTGCCCAGCACTAGTGTTCATCCATCATCCTCCGTGTAAAATATGTTCGTAAACACGAGTGACAGCAACACCTTCAACATATGTAACAGAGGAGTCACAACTGCCATAGCTCTGCAACATTTTATTTCAGGAAAATTAAAATATAAAAGTATCGTTGGAATACGCATCCACTGTCCAGATTTTATACAATATTCCAAGCCAGCTGGGACTGTTGTGTATAATGTTAGTTTTCCCAGTCTCAAGCTTAACAGAAAATAACTAAAATTTTGTCGTAAGACAGTCAAAATTTATAGATTAGATGCAAAGGTTGCAATATATATAATGACTTTACAATATTCATGTTTGAAAAATTAATTGACTATTCACTATGAATATACATTTGCTTTCTTTTTCATATCTTACAATCAGTTTCAATTTTATAACACTGAAAGTAAATCATTATATTTTATTTTATTTATTTGAAACATTAAACAAATATTTAATATAAAAAATAAAACATATTGTAGTGGATTTCTCCCCTACAAACGCTGTTTGTCGCTGAGTAGCCGACCCCGCGAATTCCCCAGTGTATGCCTCGTGGTCTAGGTCAATCAGCGCCGCCCACGGAGTGAGGGTCAACTATCTACCCACGCCTACCTCCGCTATAAAAGACCTGACCTCGTGGTGACCTCTCTCTTCTTCTAGCTACAGCCTCAGCAAGCTACACCTCCTCCGCCGCCGCTGCCTGGCGGCCC